GCTCTCTCTCTTTCTTTCTCTCTCTCATACACACACACACACACACACACACACACACACAAAGTGTGCAAAAGACATGAACTAGCAAGTTCAGAAAAGGGCAAATTTCTCTAAGCGTATAGCCAAAGAAAAGATTCACTAAATCTTTATAGATATTAGGAGTTTTTTTTTTCTACAGAGGTTGAAGTTATGTATTTTAAAAGAAAGCATCCCTCATTGAGAACCATATGTATTAATGCACGTTTACATTGATACTTGCTTTTAGATGAAGCTGATTGGTCCAGTGCCCGATGACTTTGTACTCTGTACTTTTATTGGTTATTTGATACTGGAAGATATCATAACGTCCGGGAGCATCTCCGTTTTCATTAAAAGTGACAGGCGTACCAGCACTGCCTATAAACGTTTAGAAAACAGTGTTAATAAAGTTTAAATAATATAGTTCATTGGGATTATATTTTCTCTAAAGAAGAATGGTAGATAAAATATATTATGTGTTTTAAGTGATACGAAGATTGTAATCCATACAAGGTCATTCTTGATAGCAATAATATATTTTAAATGAAAATAAGCCAGATGTACGAATAGGAATCAGATGTGCTTTATTATGCACATTAGAAAGTAAATGATGAGCATCCAAGTTAGGCAATGTACAGAGCAGCTAAATAAATATAAGATGATAGACTGAATATTCATTGCTTGCTACAAGAACAGTAGTTAATAGAGAAAAATGTAAATGTCTTGAAGCATGACAGCTATTGTACAATACGAACTACAGACAGCAATTCCAAATTGGCAGGAGGAGATTCCAGCCAAAATCCTTGGAGTTTGATTTCATCTCAACTTCAAATCCACACACAAGCTGTTGCCCTTTCTAATTCCTCTGCCTCTGCTACCTCTGCCCAGGAGAATATCACCATGGGCTGCTACTGGGAACTACTCAATGGGTGAGGCAGCAAGCCGTGGGAAATTCCATCTCTGCTCAGATCACAAAAGTCCCTTGATTCACAGGGATAAGTGTGACAGTATTAGAGCAGCACAGGATGCAAAAGATGCAGTCTTTCCTAAACTCCATTTCTCTCTGAAGCTTTCATCTTTCCTCTTAATAGCTTCGGCTCACTTTTACTTTCCATCTTATTGACTCTTCTATAATTCCAGGTGTGTTAGTGGAAAGGGATCACCACCCCAGTGTTGTCTTGCTCCATCCAGCCTCACTCTACACAGACTTTCTGTTCTTTTAACAGCCTTTAGACCCCTTCATCTTCATGAATTATTCTTTCCTATCTCAACAAATTCACCTGACACCCACCCTTTTTCTTGCTGCCTATCTTCTCTCTACAGGCTCCCTTCCCTGAATTTCTCCTTTGAAGATATTGGATTTAATTTCTCTTTTGTTCTAGAAAGAAACTTTCCTCTCCTTGCTATCTCTTTTTCATATTATATTCTCCCAAATCATATATTATTCTAAATACACCAACTTATATATTTCCATCTGATAATGAGTTTATTTTATATGTACAGTTGTTGTTTACCTAATGATCAATAATTACAAAATTCTGAAACATTTATCAGGCTAAATAGGTAAAATTATCAAAAAAGATTGTAACTTTGCAAATAATTACCATCACAACAGCAATTAGAATATTTAATGAAAATGTTTAATATCTGTTTTCTTGATTTTTTTAAAAAATTAGAAGATGAAGTCACTAATGAAACCACAGATCCCTGATATTCTTAAATACTGCTTAGCCAACAAGAGGTAGCACAGCCTAGAGGAAAGGTCACTGATCTGAGGGCTAACTCCATTCCCCATTTACATTCACAATTTGTGTATGTCTCTTTTTTCATTTATAGTAGGAACTTAACAATGAATATAATATATTTTTGAAGTTGCTAGAGAACAGTACTCATGCACATCATCATTCTTTTTATTAATTAATGGAGGAATTGACTTTATGAATCAATGGAAGACTGAGGAATTAGGGGGGAAGCAGGAGCTCTCTAATCAACCAGTATCATCTTACCACTTCTAGATACTCAAGTGGAAACCCATTTGCTTTTCTTAACCAACACCTTTACCAACTTCTAGTGTGACATTGAGGTGGTTAACCTCTTAAATCCTAAGTTTCTTCATCTACAAAGTGGGAGTAAGAGCACTTTTCTCTTAAAATGTTGTGAGAATTAAAAGAATCAATTCTTATGAAGTGTTTAAACTAATGCATGAGATAATTAAATATTTTGATTCAGTAAATATTTAGATTTAGATTCAGTAAACACCAGTGCATGTAGATAAAAAGAACAGAGGCATCTTTAAATGATGCCTCAACAAAAAATTATTGAATTTCCAATGGTGAAGATCTGACTAGAAAAACACACATTATGAATTTCACACTATCATCAATTCCTGACATTTATATATCACTTTGAAAATTTTGAATGTCACATTCTCTACTGAATAAAATGATATTTAATTTTCTCTAAGTAGAATTCCCAACGTTGTCACCTCCTTGACCAAATGATTCCTCATCTCCTACAATAGCAGTTTCTAATCATTATGCCACAATGATACTCAAGATGGAAGAAAGTCACTTGTGTAACACACTCCCATGAATATACTCTGGGTTCTACAAAATTTCTAGTGGAACAGATGTTTCTATAACTCTTTTCTCCAGTTCAAGAAAGCCTACTGGAAAGCAAGTGAACAAAGGCTACATTATCACAAAAATATAACTCCCAACTTTGCTACTTTACATATCATTTGTAGCATCAAGTTACACTAAATTTGACATGGAATTTAGGGGAAATATATAATTAGGAGTATGAGTTCTGGAATCAGATTGTGGGGTTCAAAGCCCCAGTTCTGCCACTTATTATATGTAACTATTTTAAGTTCTTAATTTCATTATATTGCACTTCAAATATGGGCTAATAGTAATTCCCATCTCAGAGGAATATGTAAGTATTAAATGAACCACTCTATGTAAAGAATATTATATAAATATTTTATATAAATATTTATATAAATATTATATAAATACTTCAACTGTATATTTTCATTTTGTTGGTACATTATAATTATACATAATAGTACAATTCACTGTTACATATTCAGACATGCAAATAATACACTTTGTTTAATTTCATTGCCTAGTACTACCCCTATAGTAAATATTATTCTTTTTTTTCCCACACCAATGCTATTTGAACCCCCCCACACACCCTTATTGATGTAAGAATACTTGAACTTCTCAGGGAGCAAATACGGTTTTCACAATATCTCTCTTATTAATCTTTATACTGTTTTAACAAAATGCCACATAACCTAAAATCCCATTCCCTGCATCACCATGCTCTACTTGCCATACTGCCTTTGCATGTGCAGTTCTAAATCCCCTTCCTGCTTCTTCCTAATCATTCTTGTTCATTCCATTCCTCTGAGATGTGGCTCAAGGGTCAAGCTCTTGTAGAGCATGATCTTCCAGACCTGAAGCCAAGACTCAAGTACCACTTCCATTCACTTTACTCTGCATATTTTTATTATTGATTACATAGATAACTAACATCCATTCAACAGATATTTATTGAGAGCCTACCTGGTGCTCAACACTGAGTTGATTCTGCCTTCCTCACAAAGCCACGGTCTCCTTAGTAAAGGTGGAATGTATCTATTATCTTTGTAAGCACTGCACCAAAGACAGTGTTCAATATTGAGCAATCAATCAATAAATTACAGGCAAGCATAAAAGGAGCACTCCCTCATGCTCTCAATCAAAGCCATGCTCAACCTCTTCATAATATTATGAACTTCAAAATAATAAATATATAAATAGGGCTGGGGATATGGCTCAGTACTTAAGTGTCCCTGCATTCAATCTTTGGTACCATAAATAAATAAATAATAGTGTGAGCTTCATTTGTATCATCTCTCTTCTTTTATATTCACAAATGAAGAGATCAAATCAGTCCTTTACTCATTGTTATCAATGTGACATTAGAAACCAAAGCAAAACTTTGGCATATCTCTAAATGAGCCCTGAATTAATTTCTGGTAGCTGAAGAAGTTTTCATTGCTGATTGCTTTAGCATCTTGTTTTTTTAGAATATGTTTTTTGGTCATGGGCTAGACTTGCAGTTGAATTACATCAAGCCTCTCACATAGAGAACTGACTCTGTTACATATTGATGTATCTCAAACTATTGCCCTGGTACTCTGGTCTATGTAATAAAGACATGCAAATAATATACTTTGTTCACCCTTGAATAGACATGAAGGACTCATTGATGGTTTACTACTTTATACATGTTTGTTGTCTTTTAAAAAGATGATCTTTTTTACTGAAATTAGCCACTCTGTGAAAAATAATTAAGGAAGATTTTGTCTAGGACAAAATCAAATGGTAAATGACTCTGAATATATTTATTAATTTATCATAACTAAATTACTTAAGTAAATATAAAAAATAAATTTGAACAGGAATAATCATATATATATAGTATATAATATATAGAATTATATACATATAATACTATAAATCATGCTCCATCAAATTTTCTTGTTTTACTCCTTTCCTTTCTACACTTTAGGAATCTCATTTTTAAGTGCATTAAATTTTTAAAATACTTTTTCATCCATGTATGCTAGTAAGAAATGAAAATAAACTCATGAAGTTGTGAAGTAATTTTCACTAGTCAGGTACTGCCCTCAGGGTCCACACATCTCCTGGAATATTTTCTGTACAATAAGAAATGTATGGGAAAATTATATTTTTATTACTAGGCATCTCAAGAACTTGCAATGTGGTTGTATAGGAAAAATTATAAAGATTTTATTTGAAAATGCTGGGTCTTTTGAGTTTTATGTGGGGAGAGATTATGGGTTTGGGATTCAGGTACTAAAGTTTGATTTCTGGATCTGCCAATTACCTATGTGATCTTGGCAAGTTACCCTCATTAGGCCTCATTTTTCATCTGTCAAGTTTGCATGATGACCCCAACCTCTCTGGGCTATTTCAAGGAATACATGAGATGACACTTGTAAAGCATTTATTGTGAGCTTGCATGCAATAAATAGCAATGAATGAAAACTATCATCATCGTTATCCTTTCCTTTGCCATTACATGTATGTTCCCTTGGTCTACATTTTCTTCTTTCCACAATGCAAAAAGCAATACAAGAATAATTCATTCACCTCCCTGTGCAAAAATTACACTTTTATATATTTATAAATGTAAGCTTCTCTATTTATTTTCAAATTTACTACTTTCGTTCCCCCTTCTCTTTGCTACCCAAACTTCATCCATTAGCCCATCACCACCTCCAACATTAGACAAGCAGAAAAATGTAAGAAAATATAAGAATTGTGAGATCAGTTAATTTAGCATTTTTAGCAACCTTA